TGTCCAGCCACCCGTTGGACCATATTGTGATTACGCAGTGAGTAGGCGACAGCTGGATGCCGAACCTTCAGAAGGCCGGGGCCCTACAAACACGACACGATTGTCAGCACCTATCAGCCGATGAATTCACGGAGAGTTCACTCACCAGTCTCCCATTTCCATGCACAGAGCCCCAAGACACGAACGGGTACTTGCCCCGTCGGTGATCCTGCTCGCCGCCCAGCCACCTCACTTGCTCACCCTCGCGCAACTCCTCAATAAAATCTGCCAGATCTAACATGCCCCCATCCCATGAGACTTTCTCGGAGTCGCTGTCGCCAGGCCCTGGTACAATACCCGAGAGCAGTACGCCGTTCTTGTCTAGGAGTACAATCGGCTGCCTATGTGGAAATTTGGGTCAGCGAGCCATCGAGCACCAGAGAGATCTATGGAACGCACAGTTCCGGATTAGTGATCAGCGTGAAATCGGGATGATCTCTGCGTATTTCCTCGAGAGTTGGCACCGAGGGCCCCGCTGGTCGATTCTTGCCCACATCAGCATAGCGCGCCATGGTCAGCGCGGTCACTACAAAGTTGACATTGATGACCCTTGGGTTAGCGTAGTTGTTGGCTGTCCCTCGGCGAATCTTCCTCCCTTTCAAGATATCGGCAGGCCTGGTCGACGTCTTCTTCTTCTTCTCTTTGGCCCTCTTGTCGAGATTCTTCCTTGCTTTTCTGGTAAAGGTTCTCGGTAACCGGATTGTTGTGTGTGGCGGGGGATGGTGGATGAACGGAGGATGCAAGGCGCTTGGAAACCTCCGAGAGCGTAGAGGCGGTATCTTTTATAACAGTGATACCGTTCGATGTTCGCGTAGGTGTGAGGGCTGGAGAAAACTCCGGGGACGCATCTTCGTCGTATTGGCGTGTGCGTTCAGACTCGACAGCCCTCTGAAGTAATGATGTGGCGTCGATGTCGACCTTGATGGCCGTGGCGGTGTCCCATGCGGAGTAACCTCGACCGCTCCGTGTCTGCGATGGAATGAGCTTCCACAAACGTAGAGATAGAGTGGAAACGTACCTTAGACTCTGCAAAGCACATGACCACACAGTCCGCTGATGACACGAAAGCCGATGGATTTGTTCTAGTGGTGTGGCGTTCGGCATGAAGGACAAAAGCCAATTGGGCGGGCTAAGAAAGAGGTCGTAATGCGTGTCAATACCATCAGAGACCAAGAAACAATCAGAGCACGTACAGTAGAGATGATATTAGACGCGTTGAAGGGATGTGCGGCGTGTCAAGCGCATCAGTGGGTGGGCGGTGTGCCGCATGCGTCGGTGGGGTGTCGGTATTTGAGGTTGAGCGTATATTGTCTGAGAATGTGGGCTGGAGAGCGTACCGGAGAAGGAAATACGCGTATTTGAACGCGTTGAACGCTTCGAACACGTCTTCAAGTTGATAGCCGTCGGCGTACGTGTGTCCATAGGTTGAAGTCAAGGTGAAGGGGCGGTTCGATGTGTGGAACAACTGAGCGTATATTTTCTGAGCATGTAGGCTAAAGAACGTACCTGAGAGGGAAATACACTTATCGGTACGCGTTGAACGCGTCGAACACGTCTTGATAGCCATTGGCGTACGTGTGTCCAGAGATTGGAGTCAAAGTAGAGGGGCAGTTCGATGTGTAGAACATGTTGAGCGTATATTGTCTAAGCATGTGGGCTGGAGAACGTACCTGAGAGGAAAATACACGTATTTGTACGCGTCTAACACGTCGAACACGTCTTCATAGCCGTCGGGGTACGTGTGTCCAGAGGTTGGAGTCAAGGTGGAGGGGCGGTTCAACGTGTGGAACATAAATAAGAGATGAGGCCGGCCCAGTTAGTGATGCGGAAGAAAAGGTCCTCCAAAAGGTCCGTAGACATCGAGGAGGCTGCCTAGGAGAGGTCACCAGCTCGACATTGCGGGGTCTTTTGGTGGAGTATTTGACGAGATGAAATATGTACTCACCAAATCCGTTCACTGAGACTGGGAAATAGTGAGCTTCGAGCGAGGACGTGCGCGGCAGAGAGAACGGAGAGGGGGGAGGGAGGGGAGATAGATAAAGAAAATAAGAGGGGGCCGTGCATCGGAGACGCGGGGAGACGGTGACGGTGACGGTGACGGTGAAGTCGCCGATCTTGAATTGAGTTGCCGGTGTTGTCATTCCAGGGTCGCGATTGCGTCAAGAATAATAAAATAAATGCAGTCCGAGAACCCGCTGAGCCCCGCATATATGCAGACGCGAACCCTCTATGCGAGCAGCCCATTTTGACGCAGTATAGCATACGAAGGTGTTGAGA